GGAATAGAAAAATCATATCACAACTTCAGTGTTATTCTGTCAAAGTTTTATAAAGGGTACTCTGCTTTGTAGGTAAATGCCTATGTATTTTCATATACTGTGGAGTGCATTTTGCACTACTCTTGGTCTGGCTCACACTACAATGATCTAACTCAGCTCAGAGTGATTTACTTAGTTTGCATATTTAATTACTTGTATTATCACATACCATACCTGTATGTACTATGCATAAATGCTAAGGAGCTGTCAACTTAAAAAGTGTATTGTTATTACTTAAAATACTGATTCTTGAGATATAATTATGGCAGACAGCTCAATCTTTTCAAATTACTTAACAAATGACTGTAAGTGCAAGAATAAGTGTGTGCCCAAACAGTTTTTGAGAAAGTATCAGTCTCAATGATATATCTTTTCTCATTTCTTTATAAAATCCTATTTTTAGTCATGATTTGTTTTGGGTAATAACATGATAATGTGCTATACCCTCCCTGTGCTACTGTGAGCCACATAAATATGTGTGTGCAAATGTATGTAACAAAGGAAGAAAGATTGAGAGAGAAACAGAAAGACAATGAGAGAAAGAGAGAGAGAGAGAGAGAGAGAGAGAGAGAGAGAGAGAGAGAGAGAGAGGAGGGAGGGAGGGAGGGAGGGAGGGAGGGAGGGAGAGGAGAGAGAGAGAGAGAGAGAGAGAGAGAGAGAGAGAGAGAGAGAGAGAGAGAGAGAGACTGTGTGTGTGTGTGTGTGTGTGTGTGTGTGTGTGTGTGTGTGTGTGTGTGTGTGTGTGTGTGTGTGTGTGTATAAAATATTTAAATACACACTATCTAGACATGAAGTAAAAATAACAGTGTGGCTACTGGGTATTCATGTTGAACTTTAAACTTTATATCTTTTTAAAATCTTTAACATTACCTCTGCAAAATGTTACAAAATCTACTCGCTGTCAGCATTATCTGAGCTGACACTTTCTTTCAAGGTCGAACTGTCAATGTCAGTCTGGCCTTCCTCTGCTACAAGAGATTCACTTGGCATGCAAACAGTTGCTTGTCTGTGGCCAGAGGAATCGTCAACAGGGCAAGGCGTGGAATCTTTCCCCTGGTCTTCACAAACATTTGCCTTATCGGAACTTTTCTTTTCTTTGGGTTCCTTTGAAACGCTTCTTTCTTTTCCTTTGACCACTTTTTCCTCTTTCTGAGGCTCTGTGTCTTTCTTTGATGCACCTGCTTCATCTGTGTGAAGCTGGTCTGCTTGACTCGATACTTCTGTTGACTTGGCTTATATAATCATTATTATTGAGAAAAGAACTTAGAATATTCCCAAATGCTCATATGGGTGCTGATCACATCCATACACACGAACACAAACACACACACACACACATACACACACTTGCACACATACACACACAATAGCACACACCACACACAACACACACACACACACACACACACACACACACACACACACATTCACGCACACACATATGAAAAAAAAAGAGAGAGAAAAAAAAAAAAAAAAAACTTGTCTTACTTTATCAACGACAGGCTCTCCACCAGAAGTTTCTCTGTGTTCTGAGTTTGTGAGCAGTATCTTCATCCTTAACACACAAGTTAGTAAAAGAGTCAATAATAGTATTACATTTTTAGCCCTTAACCCCTGGAGAGCTGGTGTGCATAAGAATTGTATTTGCATAATAAATTTAGTTGTGCAGAGATCACAGAGATTAAGTTCCTCATCAAATTTGGACTAATTAGGTCATAATTGACAAGAGACACTCCCATATACTTATTTTGCCTGTTTCTGGAAACTATTATGTCCTTGCCATCAGGGGGTTACAGACTAATGATATCTTTTACATATTCACAAGTCAGCTACCTATCTCGTGAATACTTTAAAAAAATATATATATATAGTTTGCATCTGTAATGCACATTATTTTCTTCTATTGTGAAAATCAGTGTTGTTACACATATAATTGTTCATCTGTAATATGTACATTGGTATAATCTAAAGTAGAACTCATACTATATTAATTACACTCAGTATTTTCCCTGTGAAAACAATAAAAACACTGTAAAAATCATTTTAATGTTTACATCACAAAGATTCATGTTTCAAATTGTATTTGTAAGTGTAGAGTACAATATGCATATTGGCATTATATAGTAGTGTTTCGATAAATAAATAAGTAAATGCATGTAAGATTAGCAGTAGTTGTTATGTTTACAAAAAAGACAATGAAGTTGTCTTTTGGAAAACTACATTACAAACCAAACATTCTTACTACCTCAGATGCAATAGCCTTAGGTCAAATTATATTTTTGGCTATCAACCAGCAATCTACGGATAATGAAAAAAAAGTTTCCAGCCAACAAAATCCTACAAAAAAATCTGTATGTTGCTTCTGGTTGTATTCAAGGGACTGAATATAAAACACACCTAATAACTAAGGTGAAAGAAGGATAATAATAGGTAAGGATAATAATACTAATTACAATAATAA